CAAAACCCCAAAACCCCAAAACCCCAAAACCCCAAAACCCCTAACCCTAAACCCAATATTGAAAATTTTAACTCTTGTTTCTATAACACCTCTTAATATTCAAAAATGACAAAAAAAGTAAATACCCCCATATACGGTTTTCATGAAAATTTTACAAAAAATTAACTGTTTTGAGTAAGATTTTAAGGGGTTTGAGGACTTGGATAGTAGGTTTGATAACTGGTGTAACTGTAACAGGGGTAGAGAAAGTAGAGAGAGAATGAGGCTCAAGGGGAATTTGGAGATGAGAGACGAATTCGGGAAAAAAGGGTTTTTGTGTAAAATTTGTTTCATATCGTACAGGGTATGCTTCTGTACCTTAAATATTCGAAACTAGCGTAAATCACTATTTTTCTAACTCAAATTCTCGTTGATTTTATAAACCAGAGAGCAGAAATAGGTAAAATAAGATAGTGTATCTTAGAGGAAAGTTCATATGAATTTTGTTCTTCCCGATCATCAATCAGACTGGAGATCTAAATAAAAATGATCCATGAATCTAAAACATTTTGGTATATTTCCGCGAAATCTTTTTGGTCTACTTAGCCTACAATAATTTCAAAAGCTTAGCATTGATATGAAGCAGCTTCGATTTAGAGGAATGTGAGAAGGTATGGAGCATTTTATACTTAAAAAGGTAATATATTCTTAAAATATCTGCATAAAAACTCTTGGAGCAAGGAAATTCAGACGCTCAGGATCCCTTAAACCGTCTTTGTTAGTAACTCAATGCATGAATTTGGAGATATTATAGGAGTTGATATAGTTTCCATTTGAGATATGAGTACAAACCCTTGATATAGAACAACATATTTTCATGAAAATTTCCAGTTTACTCAAGTCGATTAAGGAAGCATATTTTTACAATCTGGAATTCAATCAGGTCCTCCGATTTCATCTAGAAAGATCTAGTGTCAGTACTTAGCTAAAAGCATTGTAAAATTTCTGAGTAATCTCAGTCATTATCTAAAGAAGAAGCCATTATTATCCATTTGAAAATTAGATTATAGTTTGGTAAAAACTCTCTTATTCCAAATAGTTTAAATCTCCATCTGGAAAAGAATCAATTACTAAAATCTTCCTGCCCAGTGAATAAAATATGTGCATACTTACCTTCCCGTGGGTTGGTTGGGTAATAAAGTTTACATAGAAGGCTATTTCATTAAACTCTTTCATAAACATTTCGTGAAAGGGCCAGAATTACTTTTCTGCTGAAAAATGAGATCTTTTAATGAACTTTTCCATCAAATCATTTATATCATCAGAAGTGTAGGAATTTCTCAAATTATTCAGAACAGGAGAGTTCTTTTATCCTACAGAGGTTTATAAATAAATGTTAGGGTCATTAGTAAGCTAGCATGCGACTTTAGAATGAATCTAGCACTACCACTTTTTGGATATAGTTCCGGTCCTTCATTTTATAACCTTCTAAAATTCAGTTAATAAGTCAATTGAGAATATCCTAATTTTCCAAAAAGGAAAGTCAGGTTTAAGGAAGCCTCCCTGTTTCCCAATGTACAGAACTAGGACACCCTTAATACCCATTCGAAATGAAATGCTTACAAATTTTTAGTGTTAATAAATTATTATGGGGCAAAAATATCCTCCATTGTGACTCATTTATTAAACGAGAAAGAAGAGGACTTTGGCTCTACATGGATGCCTTCTCATCCAATCTGTTTCTCCGAAAAGTAGTTTTGAGAGTTCCTGATCTGAATAGCCCTCTGCAGGAGTCCCTTGATGTCTTCTTTTAGAGATCTTCCAGTGTGTAGGTTATCTTTAATAAAGCTGTCTGAACTCTCATCTATCTTTTGTCAGGTAGATCTTTCTTTGGAATTTGTAACATATCCATTCAATTTCTGTACTGGTCAAGAGAGCGCTTTCACCAGAGGTATTCCGGTGGACTTTCTCTTAAAAGGATTTGCTGACATATTCTTAGTAAGCCTTGTCGATTCCTTAATGCTGGGCATGCTGATATTTTCGTTAATAAACTCATCAGGCAGGTTTTCGTCTGGTTGCTGAATAATATTCATATTTGTAAATTTATATCATCCAACTCAGCCGATCTTTATGGGGTTTTGGGGTTTTGGGGTTTTGGGG